GAGACAGATGAGTGATCCCGTCTTGGTCAATATTTTAGTATTTTAGTTATGACTTGGATGTGAGTGATTAGGGCCCGTCCTAAGTCTAGCGTCCAGATGGGGTGATTAGTGCCTTTCTTGGATTTTTGTGAAGGGGGGCCTCTAGAGTGTGCACATGAGTACCGATTTACCGTTTGTCCCATAGTTAGACCAATTTTTATTTATATATATGCCAATTTCATGATTTGTTATTAAATGTGTTGAATATTCACTGCCGGTTTCACCGAAGCATCGTTTATTCTTTTATGTTCAAGCCTCCCCACTAAACATTTTACAGATGATGGAGTCCAGCGTGGAGCGTGAGCCGGATGCGGTGGTGGTGGTCACCAATATTTTTGATATGACAGGTCATCTAGACCCTGGAGAATGCTCTCTATTCCTCAGTCGATCCCTTCAAATCCCCATAAAATTTCATGCGATTTTACAGCCTCTCACGCTTCTCTTTACCTGCGTTTCGATTTCTCGGACCTTATCGTCACCAAACGCATTTCAAGAACATGACAACTGAAGAAGTTAATGAAGCGATCTCTAGAAGATCCCAGATAACTGCTAATGCGAAGGTCAACAAATTCCAGCAACTTCTTCACTCAGACACCAACTGTAAGTAAAAATTATAAGCAAGATTTCAAGAAATTAAAAAAAAAATAAAAATAAAAAATGATTCGGGTGAATATTTCGATTCTTTTCTTATTATTTGTGTAATTGTTTTCTGTAAAAGAGGAATTGGGTGGCGTTTGATGTTCAGATAACTGGGACAAGTGCTGGGAAGAAGGTTTGACGCCTTGGGATTTAGGGAGCCCCACCCCTGTTCTTGTGCACCTCCACAACACAGGATCCCTACCCAAAGGCAGGGTTCTTGTTCCTGGCTGCGGTAGTGTAAGTGAACTTGTACGTTCAGTTTTCGTGTACCGTGCCTTTGATTTTGAAGCCCTTGTTTCTGTTTTGGGGGAAAAATGGTTGGAAATGATGTTTAGGAAAATAACAATTGCTTTTTCGACCTATTTGCAATTTTCTTAACGTACTGAATTACTTTGTTAGACTTATTACAAGCACCATAATGTGCCATTAAAAAATAGAACAACTTGAAGAAGAAGTAAACTTTCTTATTGGCAAAATCCACATCCTAACCAGGATAAATATGTAAAACACAATGTAATCTGTTAGCCCCATTAAAAAATCCAAATAATGAAATCGAACTCCGTACTTACCTGGCATATGCTAAGGCGTAAATGTAGCATATAAAAGAACCCAACAAAGGACAGCAGAAAAATGAAGCCATTCCGGGGTCATGTATTCAAACTTCAAAGATCCTTTTTCTCGTGTACTAGTTCGTATGCTGACCTTCTCGTGTTGCTTTTATTGTTTGATGGTTTTTTTAAATGCTCTTTGGATACTTAGCTGGCATTGATGCTGTGCTGAAAATAACTTCTCTGAGGAGACCGGTGTTTATTTTGACTTGTTCCTCAGACTTGTGTTGTATGCTGCAGGGCCATGATGTGGTAGCAATTGCATGTGCCGAGCGTCATGTGGTAGGTATAGACATTTCGGACAATGCTATCAACAAAGCAGCTGAAGTAAGAGTCCATTTCATTTATAAACCGGATATTTTTTGTCTCAGATCGGACATATCGGACAATGCTATCTTTTGTCTCAGATATTTTTCTATATTTGTCGTGTGCATGCCTGCTTCATTTGATCGCCCATACAAGTATCCATCTTTATGCTTTCTGCTGTGTGCTTACTGCTTACTGACTCAGTTGGTTCGCATTTTGTCATATCTTGTATTTCATGAATAGTCCGGGTTTGTACTTTAATCTCTTGCCATGTGTCGCTGCACAGTTACGGTCTTTTTTTTTTGGGAAGTTGTTTCCGTGAGACAAATTGCAGCTTTAGTACAAATTACACCCAAGAAAGACATTTCATATGAGTAGACTTCAGATTCATGTTATTTAAAATCTGTAAAGTTTGAAATACTCTAAATTCTGTAACCCCCGAACTAAAGCGACCTTTTAGAAATTAATGGTAAATATTTTGTCATTATTTATAATAGTTTGACTGGATTATATTTCTTCAAAACTATACAAGCGTTAGTTTCTTTTTTTTAGACCGCTAAAATGTCAGCTTAACTTTTAAAATGTGGTATGTATGTAATATTATTAAGGTTTTTGCTAAGTTATTGTTTGACATGTTATGGCAGTTGTCATCTCGGTCACCAAATGCGGAGCATTTTACTTTCTTAAAGACGGACTTCTTCACTTGGTGTCCAACTGAGTTGTTTGATCTCATTTTTGACTATACGTAATTATTTTTAGTAATATTTAAATGATTTATTTTCCTGATTGTTGCATTAGTGTTCATCAGGATCCAAAATTGTCTCCACAGGTTTTTCTGTGCCATTGAACCGAAGTTAAGGTCATTGTGGGCAACAAAAGTTAATGATCTTCTAAAACCCGATGGCGAGCTCATAACACTAATGTTTCCGGTTAGTAAATCTTTTTTTTTT